ATTGCAGATTCAGTCTTCCCAGCCTGGTGCAGGTCTACAATTTTGTTTCTGGTGTCCTTTGACAGCTCTTTGGTCTTGGCCATGGTGGAGTTTGGAGTGTGACTGTTTGAGGTTGTGGACAGGTGTCTTTTATACTGATAACGAGTTCAAACAGATGCCATTAATACAAGTAACCAGTGGAGGACAGAGGAGCCTCTTAAAGAAGAAGTTACAGGTCTGTGAGAGCCAGAAATCTTGCTTGTTTGTAGGTGATCAAATACTTATTTTACAGAGGAATTTACCAATTAATTCTTTAAAAATCCTACAATGTGATTTTCTGGATTTTTTTTCTCATTTTGTCTCTCATAGTTGAGGTATACCTATGATGAAAATTACAGGCCTCTCTCATCTTTTTAAGTGGGAGAACTTGCACAATTGGTGGCTGACTAAATACTTTTTTGCCCCACTGTATGTGTGCTATGTATTGCAGTTTATGCATGTATTGAAATCCATGTGAAGTTGCTCCAAATTGGCCACTTATTTCAGTTTAGATGGCAGTAGAACGCTAGATATAGTTTGAAAACGCTTGATTGTTCATGTTTGGGTTAAAGCCCAGTTGACCTCGATAGCTCTCAAGTACTCAATCATATTACACATTCTCAATGATCTGATGCTCTGAGCTTGATTCGATTTAAGATACAATATTAGCTCTTCATAGCATAGTTTCTTCTTTAGCTCTGTTAGAGCATCTCATGGCTTCACCATTGGTCTTTGTTCCAAGTCGTGACCTTTATTACTCTATAATTAGGTTTTACAAGTTCTGATGCTATCTTTCCCCAGACATGGCTTCACGCCGTCTCCAGTTCTCTTTGCACGTTTTTAATTTGTCTGTCTAACGAGGAGCAACTGAACGTGACGTGTAGATCTTCATGTCCAGAATTTAAAGATTGAGGTGTCTCTGTCTCTCTGGCTCACAACTTATTCGAGTTCTTCGCAGCAGACTGCAGTGTATGTGGCAAACCTCGTGTATTTTCAGACATCCTGTGGCCGCTGGACTCCTGTATGTGTTATTCTGTTGCTCCTCGGCGCTCCCGAGCAGGATGCTAAAATTATAGCTGCAATGAGCAAATAAATGTTTACTAGCTTCATTTAAAAATACATACAAACAGAGGCTAAAGGGTTTTGCTGGAGCATGAAAGCCAGCGAGCTTGAAACGCTCCGTCTGTGGAGTAACAGCTGTAAATATCTCTCCAGCTGTTTGCGTACAGATACGATTGCACAAGTCATTGGCGATTATGTAGCGTGCTTTATCAGTCGTATTACCTACTGATTCAAGCTTATTCATAAACACAAAGAGCTTCCAAGTCTGTGTTGGCCTTTGAGTGGACAAACTCCACATTGTTTTGCGATAGTTTGGTCTACTGAGTCATATTGCGCTCATAGCTTTAAAGACTTCACTTTGTTTGTATTTTTGTCTTCAATTTCAGTTGAGTTGTTTTAGTTCTTTATTTAGATTTAGTTTTCATCTATCAAAACATTAGTCAGCCCCTTCCTAATTGATTGTTTTTGACAGTGCAAAAAATTAAATAAATACAACTTTTTCGGGTTTTTAATTTATTAATTAATTTTTTTGTGACAAAAAAAAAAGTGTCTGGCTCTGCCGGACACTTTCCAGACATTGTGAGCGATGCAGGCCATGTCTCATGGGATTATTATTATCATCATTCAGTTCTTTATCATTTCATTGCGAAACTGAATGAAAGGGGTTTTTCCACAAGCTCAGCAGCTTTCCACTTTCACCGTGTCTCTGTTCTTTATAGATCCTTGCAAATGTTACTCTCTCATGTTGTTATCTTTCCAACACACATTTTTCCTTTATAAAGGCTTTTGTCGATTACAATAATTCCTTGGAAGTAGATTGATGGATCAATTTAAAATGTCCCTTTTCCCTTCTTAATACACTTTGCAAAGAATGTCACGTTTGTCTTATCTTTCATCAAAAAATAACTTGATCTGCTTTTGAAATGGCTTTACTTAAATTACTATTGTAAAAACTGTAATGTTGTGGAATATTATTGCAATTTAAAATAACAGTTTTCTTTGAATATATTTCAAAATGTAATTTATTCCTGTGATGCAAAACTGAATTTTCAGCATCATTCCTCCAGTCTTCAGTGTCACATGATCCTTCAGAAATCATTCTATTTCTAATATGCTGATTACCTATTATTATTATTATTATTATTATTATTATCATCATCATTTATTATTATTATCAATGCTGGAAACAGTGAATATTTTTGTGGAAACTGTGGTACTATTTTGTTAATGATACTTTGATTAATAGAAAGTTCAAAAGAACAGCATTTATGAGAAATATAAATATTTAGAAATTTATAAATATCTTTACTGTCGCTTTTGATCAATTTGTTGCATCATTGGCTTGCTGAATAAAAGTATTAATTTCTTTAGAAAAACATTTCAATGGTAGTGTAGCAATTCAAAGACGGCTATATTTGCTAAAATCTATTGACAAAAGTAGATTTTGCTTTGACCTTTAAGATGTTATCTTTTGTAATAGGTTTGCATCAAACCTTGTCTGTTGGAGCAAAGCAGGTTTTGTATGCAGCACTAAGCGCACGGATGGCTCTGCGTGGCTTGAGTGGAGTTCTTGTGGTTTTGGCGTCGTTTCCATGCCAACAGGCAGACATGCCAAAGCACAGCTAATGCGAATGAAAGCCAGCAGCATCTGTTTCCTACAGGTCTGACACTGAGAGATGCTGACTCGCACCCGCGCTATCTTTATAAGTGCGTCTCTGTGTCTCTCGCTCTTTTACCCTCCGTGTTTTCATCGAGAAACCCTCGAACAAGAGCGTCTTTGTGGAACTGCCTCCTATCTATTTTTACCTCACCAATGTACTTTGCTTTCAACCGCTGCTCTTATTCAATTAATTTGAGGGTTTTAAAGTCAGTGTGTTTTTTGTTCTTCAGCTGTTTCTCATGTGATCTTTGAGGGTAAAGTCATCAGGTGATGCAGTAAATGTGCTGCTGTAAAAAATGGCTCTTGTTTGCAAAGGGCAGTTTTTGCACCTGAGGCTGACACATTGAGCTGAAGAGGAAGCATGATGTGACTCATACTTCACTTTGATTGGACGCCTGGAGGAATGACTTCTGTGCCTCATTTCTTTGGCACTGTTGTTGCATTTAGCATTTTAATGTTTTTTGTTCCGGTTTCTTTTCTACTTGTATTAGTACGTAGGGTTGTGACGGTGAGGTAATTTTCCCACTGGTTAAGCGACGTGTGTTAGCACCGATAATACCGGTATCACTGTGGGGGCAGGGGCTTTTCCTCGCTTTCCTTCACTTTTAAATCGCTTAAAAGCACCGTGCGCATTTTACTATCACTTTCTTATGAATTAGCGTCAATTCGCCGTCAATTGCTTGAATGCAACAACAAAATACAACGTCAAACTCACTTTAGCCTATATATAAAACATAGAACTTTTATTAACAAAACAAATAAAAATAAGCTATGCCTAATATAAAATAACAAATAACTTATATAAAGTTTAAATAGGTAGCCCATACAAAATTGGAAATAAGTAAACATGTATAATATACAGTATAACCAAATAAATAAAAACGTAGAAAGTTTATTAGCAAAACGAATAAGAAAGCTTGGAGGCACGGCATAAACCTTGATGTCAAATAAAATAAATGACACAAAGTTTAAGTAAAGTAAAAATCAGCAAACACTGTGGAACCAATTAAATAAGAAATTTATGTTTAAAAAAACTTCCAAAATCACCTTAGATAAACGGTAAAAGTCAACAGGCTTTTCAAAATCCAAAATACTGCCAAACAGGCGCTTTTGCATTTAGTTTCGAAACTAAATCATCCGCGATCGTCTTGTCTGTCTCACCTCACTCTTCTTGTCAGTCAGCCGGACTCACTCTCCTCACTGGATAAATGAAATCTGATCTGTGATGCGACTGTCGTTCGGCACGCTGCATTGAGCAGCCGCGTTCAGTTTTTAATTGTAGTGTCTGTTCTTTTACTGAACTAAATTATTTTTATTACTATAAAAAAATCTAAACGATGGTGGGGGTCGGTGCAGCGGTGGGCAAGTGACGTAACCGGTGTTGCGGCTTAACACCGTCAGCACCGTCTATCGCGGCAAGCCTAGTGGTAAGTACAAGTGTTGATGCAATACTAAAATTCAGTAGTTGATACAAATCAGTAAAGTTGATTTAATAATCCAGATGTGCTATTTAGGTTTTGCATAAATTATTTATCTTTATGTGGAAAAATAGCACAGTTTAAAGGAATAGTTCACCTAAAAATGAAAATTTGCTGAAAATGTGCTCACCCTCAGGCCAGCCAAGCTGTAGATGAGTTTTTGTATTTTTCCATTGGAACAGATATTGAGAAAGTGAAAGTGCAGTGAATGGGTGCCGTTAGAATGAGAGTCCAAACAGCTGATAAAAACAATCACAATAATCCACACCACTCCAGTCCATCAGTTAACATTTTGTTCAAACAAAACTGTGTTTGTAAGAAACACATCCATCATTAAGGCGTTTTAACGTTAAACGGTTGCTTCTGGCCAAAACATGAGTCCATAATCCATAATAAATGCTCTCACATCAAAATCCACCCACGTATTTGGTTAGAGCTGTTTTGAACCGTTTTCACTTGTAAGTTTGAAATTCAAAATGCCTTAATGATGGATTTGTTTCTTACAAACACACAGCTTTTCACTTCACAAGATGTTAACTGATGGACTGGAGTGGTGTGGATTACTTGTGGATTATTGTGATATTTTTATCAGCTGTTTGGCTCTCATTCTGATGGCACCCATTCACTGCAGAGGATCCATTGATGAGCAAGTGATGTGATGCTAAATTTCTCCAAATCGATTCCCATGAAGAAACAAACTCATTTACATCCTGGATGGCCTGAGGGAGAGTACATTTACAGAAAGTTTTCATAATTGACTGTTTGCAAAGAGCTTGATTGACAGGCGATCTGACCAATCATAACATCGAATCTGCCATCTTGCCCGATAAACAAATCAGACAGGAGAGTAGATTAAGGTCGGTGGATTTGAACTTGAAAAATTGTGTGTATTGACGTTGTTTTCAGCGGTTTAAATAAAATACGCTCTGATGTTCGTTCATTCATGTTTATTTTGTGCTTTAAGTAAATATGAAAAGACGATCGATTCACATGCCACTTGAACTGAGGCTATGCAGTGATCTGTCACGATACATTAAAGAGCCACAAAACGGTATTTATTGTTTGAATTTCTTAAAATACAAAATTTTAAAGCTGAGACCTTGTTTCATACCAGAAGTAACCTGCTCTGACTTGTCTGTCAGCTTGTTGTCAGTTTCCTCTTTGCTCCGCCATGTATTTTATACTGCATGAGAACATGGTGTGTAGTGTGAGAGAGGCATGGCTTGTCGGACATAGCAACAGTAACTAAGGAGCACGGGTTTTTGCGAAGGGTCAATTGTAATAGTCAGAGAGGCAGGAAAATGGTCATGATCAACTAAATTTTGGCAGTTTGGTGTAAGAACTTGACTGCTGATGCTACAGAAGTTTCAGACGTGGCCCCTTTAAATCCCCAAACTTCATGTCTCTTCTCTGTTTCTCTCCCACAGCGAGCTCAGTGTGTGCCACTTCAGGAATGCTGTAGGGAATGACTGGCTAGCTGCCGACTGATTGCCTCGTGCTTTAAAATCCCTCAACCTTACAGCCTCAATTATACACTCAGATGTTTGTCTTTGAAGCCTGTCTACCTGGCAGGAAACTGGCCTGTTATTGATGATTATGCACAGGCTCTCTAGATTTAAACATGACTTGGCGTTGGAATGAAGCCTCCTTTCTTCATGCTATAGTACATGATTATGTAGTAATGGTTCATGTAGCTTCAGACATTAGGAAGTTCTGATGTAATACAGCCATTTTGAGTTTGTAAGAGAGTTTGGTAAGATATGTGTTGTGGTATAATATTGTACATTTTAAACTCTTAATAGTTGACAGTTCCCTAAAGACCCTCTTTAAAAGAGGAAGTGACAGTAATTTCATTGACCGAGATGAACACAGTGAAGATTGTATCAATGAAATACTTTGTTTGCTGATTTTGTCGTCTTCCTGTTTTTTTTAATTGTTGTGCAGGGATGTGCAAAACTACTGGAATATTTATTTATTTAATAAAAATCTGTTCTGGTCTTATTTTTTTTGATTTAGTTATTTACTTAGGCTATTAAAATGTATTATTATTATTAAATATTGAATATTTATTTATTTAATGATGATAGTGTTAATTTTTATTTTTAAAATATATTTAATTATATTTATTTTGTTAAAATATTGACTTTTTTATACTATTTTTAATTAAAAATGTAAAAAATGTATCAAATATTTAATAACATTTATTTGTTAAAATATTTATTTGAACTCATAGTTTAATATATTTACTCATAGTGAGAGCAATTACAGTGTCGTCAGATATCAATAGCAGGAGATAACGCTTCATTGGCTGTCTCTTTGTGTTCCCTGGCTTCTGTGGGTGGTTTGTTGGCCGTGTTCACCGCCGTTTGTCACCGTTTGACACTTTCCTTTAGAGGAAGTCCTTTAGCATGCCATTTGAACCCCTCATTTCCACCAGCAGGCTTATTAAGAGCTTTGCTGCTCTCTCCAAAGGCAATCCAGGAGCTACCTTTTCCTGTTTGGGCTGGTTTTTTCCCCCTTTGGCATGCGCTTTTTAACTTTTTTGTCCTAGTTTGTCCAGTCCGA